TTTTTCTTTAGGATCCCACCTAGGGAAGCCAAGAAGTTGGAAAAACTAACGAGCAACATTCTTTGGGAGCCAAGGGAAAGTGAAAAGGACCACCTAAGTAAGTGGGAGATTGTGTGTAGGAGTAAAGAGGAGGGGGTTTAGGAATAGGAAATGTATCATTGTTAGGGAATTAGTTGTGGCATTGGCCCTTGGAGAGAGAGAGAGAGATTATGGCATGAAGTGGTGGCAAGTATTCATGGTTGCTTAGAGAATGGGTGGGATGTTGGTGTATCATGTAGGGCTACCTTGGAAACGCCTTAGAAGGAAATTCATGGTATTCTTCCTTAGTTTCTCAAGTTTGTCGAGTGTGATGTGTGTTCCTGAAACTTTTTTCTTTTTTGGGAGGATATTTTGGTTGAAGATATTTCTTTCGCAGTCAAGAAAGAGAGTAAGGAGAGTTCGGGTGATCTTTTGGACAAATCACCCATTAGGAGAGTTCGGGTGATCTTTTGAACAAATCACCCCTCAGTCCACCACCATAGGGTCAACTCGCAAGGGAAAGCAGGGCTTTCGCACCGTGGGCCGACCTGTGACGGGATCCTACGCACGGGACCATAACAGTAATTGGGGTTTTAAACTTGATGTGGAGGTTGATTTTGTACTTAAATCTTTTTGAAGGTTTTACTACTTCTATGGTGAAGGTTCTTTTACTAAAAAATGAAACAGCCCCAATTGTAATTAGCCATGAAATTTCTTGTTACAAGGAGTACAAAGGGGTAAGGATGAAAGTGATGAAATATCTTTGTTAGAGGTTGGGTTTTGGAATGCTCTGAGTAAGGTGGGGTGAAATTGTCTTTGTTTACTACTTGGTGATCTTCTATCACCATTTTTGTACTTTCTTTTTATTTTAGTAAATCTATTTTTAGCATTAAAAAATAAAAGACAAAGTTTTTTAAGATAAAAAGATAAAAAAAGAGAAGGATAAAGAGGTTTTTTAACACACTCTCTCTTATGTTAAATAGAAAAACGGTATTATTTTCTTTTCTTATTCAATGATTTTTCATTTTATCTTCAAAAAAATGTTAAAAAGAAAAAAAGCTTCATCCCTTTTCATTGCTCTATTTCTTAAGAATTTTTTATTAGTATTAAATTATAATCTTCCTTAGTTGCTAATAATTTTTTAACCTGAAATTGCTCTGTTAAATACTTATTATGAAACTGTGTTGTGTTTGATGTATTGAAATTATTGATTTGAAATTCTACTCGCTTTTGTATATGGTTTGATATATTTTAAGATGAAAAATTAATATCATTAGTAAAGAGTATTTTCTATTTTTTCCATTTATATGAATGCTAATTGTTATGCAAAGTTAGGGAACTAAACTAGAATTTAGTTTTTGTTTTTGTAAAATTCCAGGCAACTAGGCACTCCATTGTTACCCACTGTTTTAGAAGCACAAGGCATAGGAGCCAATTTGTGCCCGAGGCACAGGGCACAAGGCGAGGCACATGCATTTTTGAAGCAAGGTGCAAAAATACAAAAAAAAGATAAAAAATCAATAAAATGCCAGTAAATTCAAAAAATGCTAAAAATTAAAAAAAATGCAAAAAATAAAAAATAAAAATATTAAACATAATAGGTATCAATAAATATAAATATATAAAACATAACATATAAAGTGTATTTAAATAAAAACTTAAAAATAAATATAAACATATAAAACATTTTGAGGCATGAAAAATCGACAATCTCTTTTTTTATTCCTCAATTGCATTACTTCAAGTAGCCAATGTGTGTAAAACATATTATATTCCTGATTCTACGAGCAGCCTTTGTGCCACACCTCTTGAGGGAAGCACAAACAAGTCCATGTTAGGGTCTTAAATTCTTAGTTCTCACACAAAAAGTAATGATTTTATAATTTTAATTATTTTTTGAGAAGATATTTTATTAAAATAAATAAATAAACAACATTAGCAAATATGAGATTCTCGGGGACGACTATGGTTTGGAGAAGGGACCGTAAGTTTCAGGGGTGCAAATAACACTGTCAGCCTCTACCTAACAGAATGGAACGTAATTACCACGCAACCTGACAAAAAAAATTCTAGTAATCATATCCTTGTCAAATAGAAGCATCCATCCACCTCATTCTTTTGGACCTAAAAGAAGAAACTTAGGCATGCATGCTTTCTAAGTTCCCACTAATTGGATGCTGGTCACCCTAGATTTTGAAAGCTCGAAAAGAGAGGATTTCTTTGCTGAATTTTGGAATACTTTAAAATTTGATTCTTTGCTTTGATTTAGTTGTATTCAATTTATATTGGAGTTTTTTTTCTTCCAATAGGTGATGTCTTATCACTTGGTTGCAGTGTACTCTTCTTTTATTTTATGAGATTTTATTTTTTATTTATCTTCAAAAAAAAAGTTCCCACTGATTGGTTGGGTGTATTTATCTGGAAAGATTGACATGTGATGTGTAATCTAGATTCCTAAGTGAGAAACTGACCTTATTTGTTAATAGACAGTATGTGATTGCAGGAATATAAACCAGACTACTCTAGGAGAAAGAAAATCTCCATACAACATAGCATTAAATAATAAATTCATAAACAAAAAGAAGAAAATATCCCAACAAAAGAAGTAGTGTAAAATAGAGAACCTTATCCTCCATATGCTGCTCCAGTAGAAACATGCATATTGACAAAACAGAAAATTATAGTAATTAAGCTTAAAGAAAAAAAAAAGTAGCAAAATGATTAGAAATTCTATAAAATAATCAATGAGAGAAAAACTACCCTGAAGACTGAAATCTTTCAAGTCAACATCATAAAGATCATAGATATTTATTATGATACCATCTTTCTACAACATGGACCCAATTAATGTAGCATGTTTACAGCTACAACAGGAAGAATTAGGAAAAGCTAGTCATTGCATGATCTAGTTACTGCTAATGGTGGCTTGAATTCCAATGGACAGACTTCATACAAACAGGTCATTCAATTCAGTCATAATGGAGACAACTTACAGAGCATTTAAGTTTGAACAAATAGAGAACACAATAATCCATAATATGCATGTCTGATGCTGTATTGAGTTATCTTGGAGACCTAACAGTATGATTCTAAGTGCATGGTTAACTATATGCAGATAGAGGCAAAAATTAATAAAAATAAAAAAAAAGTATATGAAAGTAAGCCTTTTTTATGTTTATGGTGCATGAATATAAAAGAAATGTTTTAAAAAGCAAGTACTCAATCAAATGCAAAATGGACCAGTTTGGTTCAAACAGGCTTTCTGAACCTATACGAACCTATTAAATGCTTTCTAAAACTATAAGAAACAATTAAGTGAATAAAAATATAGTACATATCACATAAAAATAGGAAAAATTATGAGATGTTAGAAATTTTATCTTTTCAATTCTAATAACAAAATCATCACATTTATATATAAAATTGAAATATCATTCCATGAAGTATAAACGACAGCAACAATATATAAGTATCAATCAGAATTTCTTCATTTCTAATAGGGTGATGTCATGATGTCATTTTTTGGAAAGCTACAAGCAAGGTTCAAGGTATCGGAAGCATAAAGTGTATTGGAAACGCAATTTTAAGAGACGTATCAGGACATACCTATGATATGCATGCGTATCGGAGAAAAATTAAGATACACATAAAACATTATAAATACTTTAATAAATCATAAAATACATCAATAACACTAAATATAAGACCTCAATAAGGTATATATACATTAAATTAATATGTTTTAATAGTTTTATGAAGAAATACATTATAGTTAATTATAATTTCATTAAAAAACCTATGCTTAACTATAATTTATAAATTATAATTCTTAAGTTTTATGGGATGGAAAAAACCCAACTCTCCCAAGTAAAAAATATAAATAATAATTATTTATTATTTAAATAATCATTATTTATTTTTTATTTTCAAAAATTAAAAAAAATAAAAATAAAAATAAAAAATAAATAAACATTATACACTATATTAAAAACTAGTTATTAGAGAATAAATTTCAATTGTTTTGTGGATATGGTAGACCATCCAGAGAATTATAATATATTCAATCATTGTGATCAAAAGATAAAATATAATTAATTATTATTTATTTTAATTCTAAAAATAAAAAAAACAATTAGTAAAGAAGAAATTTCAATTTCTCTATGGATATGATATAGAATTATAATATATTCAATCAATCAAATGATAAAATATAATTAATTATTAATTATTTTTTAATTTTAAAAATTTTAAAAATCAAAAGAAATATTAAAGAAGAAATTTCAATTGCTTTATGAATATGATAGATAAATCTATAGATCTAAAACATATTAAGTCTTTGTAGGCAGAGAAAATATTACATTTTCAAATTTTTTGTTAATGTATAATTCCCCCAAATATCTTCATTAAATTTCCATAGGTCTGCTCATAACAAGAAAAAAAAAAGAAAAAAAACTGTGATTTTGGATGTAAGAAATGTAGATCAACATATATTTAAACATTCAAGAAAAAAAAGAAATCACAAGATATTTATAAAAATTTGAAAAAACTTACATTTTTGCTATATTTTTTCAAAATTTGAAAAATCTTCAAAAAATTAATGTTTAATGTTTGTTTGTTACAAATTTTTGCATATCTAGCACTCTATGAATGATGTTTGGAGTTTTAGAATCATTTGGGGGTGGGGGGGTGAAAGAAGACTTATTTTAGGGGGAAGAAGCTTGCTTTCAACTTTTACTTTTTATTTTTTGCGGTTTTTGGTTGTATCTTTTTTGTAGCATATTGATCTGAAATGGGATTGATACGGTGGAGAAAGGGTTAGGTTGTTTGGTTACAATACACAGGGGGTATTTTGGTCATATAGGAAATTGGTCAGTTTTAAGTATTTTGGGGCTAGTTTCGTCATTTAGAAAAAGTTAATAATTCACATATGCTCTTTTTTTATTTGAATAAAATTTCACATATGCTCCTTCCGTTGTCTAATTAAACGGAACGAGGAAAATGAGGAGGAATTTTAGAAGGTTGAGATTTAAGAATTTAAGAACCAATATCTAACAGAAATAACTTGATAAGATCGATCAATTAATCATCCAGAGAATCAAAAGGAGCTGAAGATCCGAGGTTTCTTCACCAGTTTGCTCAACTAATTAAGACAATTAAAGGTATGATTTTTTCCTTTACTTTTGTGGAAAACTGTCCTATTTGCTTCTCCATTTTGAATGTGAAATGGTGGATAAATGAAGGATATATTTTTTTTTTGGTGCAATTTAAGGAGACTGGAGTTGCTCGTTCCGTTCATTTCGTGTTAAAGATTTTGGTCATTCATTTGCTGTTTAAATCTCTGTTTTCTTTGTTTGTGTTCCGTCTGTGTTATTAACCACAGCTCGATTCTAGAAGTGTAAAAAGTGCACCCTATATGAGTTCTATATTTTTTTTGATCAATAACCAAATACGAGTTGTTTATTGGTAGATGAATTGATCATCTTGGAATTTAAGTAATAAATTAAAGAAGCCATTGGAATTTTGATCAAAACTTGCCATCCTTAGGCTTCAACTAATGCCATCTAATTCGGTTTTCTTGTATCAAAATTTTCATTTGTTTTGTCCTCCGTATCTGCTTGAAGTTGTCTGAAAACCCTCTCCCTCCTTCCCAAGACATAGGGGGGATTAGAGGAGTTTGAAGAGGGGGAGGTCGGAGGAGAAGGGGATGAGAGAATAGAGGTCGAGGGTAATTGAGAAAACCCCAAACTGAATGGGTGAGTGGGGGCTTGCGGGGCTCTCGGTGGTTTTTCTCTTTTGAAGAAGGAGAGAGAGGTCGTTGAGAAAAATAGAGGGGAGAGACCAAGGGAGAAAAGAAAGAGAGAGAGAGAGAATGAAGAGGGGGTTGGAGGGGAAGAAGTGAGAAGACCCGGATTGTCGGAGGAGAAAGATCGAAGTGTGGGGGCTTAGAGGTTCTCTTGAGCGAAAGAGAGGGAGATAAAGAACGAACAAGAGAAAGAGAAGATTTGGGTGGAAGCTTCTTCTAGAGTAAACAAAAATGAGAAATGAACAGAGGCGGACTCGAGGAAAATGGAAACTCCATTCAAGGTTCTGTTCCCTATTTTCTCGTTAAACTCCAGAAAAGGGTTCCATTGATCGAAGGGTTTAGCAAGAGAAGAATCCCTGTTCTTCTTCTCCATCTTTTCCTGCAATGTATCTAGCTATTTACGATTCTGTCATCATTGATCTCTAGCTCAAGGCCAAACTGAAATGCCACACCATTGTCTAAAAGAAATCATCCGAGTTGATCGAATCCCAGAGTCATCCTGTAGCATCGGTTCAGTGTTCTAAGGCTATAAGAGGTAAACCCTTTACCAATCGAAGTTTTGTTTATTTCTTGAATAGGTATTCATTAGTTGTTTTTTCTTGTTTTTTTTTTTTTTTTTTTTTTTTTTTTTTTTTTTTTTTTTTTTATAACTTATAGTTGCTTGTTATCTTCCTAGTCTACTTTTGTTATTCTGCTTTTGAGTTCGGTGTGAGAATTGTGTGTTTTCTGGCATCTGGAAGGTGATGACTCTCAAATTCTTTCGATCCCTCTGGTTAGGCAGCCAAGTCCGAAGGTCCTGATAGAAAATAGGGTGGGGATGTATTTTCCCATCTTTTGCTCAGGTCCCTACATCCAAAAGGGATCTGGTCTAGAGGAGGAGAGATATGGCTTCACAATTACTGTACATCTCCATGCCAGGAAATGTAGATTCTTAATCTGGATCTGTAGTTTGGTGTTGTTAAAGTAATTTAGAAAAAGGGATTTGGCAATCACATTGACTGGAGAGAGGGGTGCATAATCCCTTCTCTCTCTCTCTCTCTCTCTCAACTTACCCAGATTTACCTTCCTTGTCCAGGTCGAATTGTACGAAGTCACTATTATTTCTAAATATTTTACGAAATCCAACCCCGAGAGGCCCATCACTCCCAGTTATGTATTCTGATGGGTGGCGACTCCATTTGATCTGCCATGAAGTGAACAACCGGTATTTTTTCGACATTCACAATGATTAAATATTTTCATATTTTAAATGAAATGCCCATGAATTAAGCTATCAATTATCTAAACTGCACTATAAATTCCACTACTTGCAGCAGAAAACATATAAATTCCACTACTAGAAAAATTGTTTCTATCTTTTTTATCAGTAAAACAATTAATTTCATTTTTATTTCAATTAAAGCATGTTACACAAAGTTCTATTACAAGTGAATCCAGTCCCCTTTACAATTTGAAAGAAGCCCAGTTACAAACCTTCCCAAAAAGTTTATTCCTTATGCACCATCCCATTTGCTGTTCTCTTTAACCATTTAAAAGTTGCCTCCAACTCCTTTTCTATGTTCCTGATCTCTCTTAAAATGTGTCTGCACCTAGTTTCCCATCATTGATCCAAGAGATTTCCAGTTTTGAGCCCCCCTAAACCTCCACATGTTGAAAGCCATGTTGCTTTGTTATCTTCATCCCTTGGAGTAATGCCATCACTTCAGCTCTTAACGAGTCTCCAACTCCAAGTGGGCCTGAATATAGAGCCACCACCTTACCTTGTTGTCTGTGAATACACCTCCAATGCTTCTCATTCCTGGGTTACCCAAAGAGCTTCCATCAAAGTTCAGCTTCCTTCTATTGTTTGGAAGTGACTTCTATTCCATGATTATGTTGTCTTTCACCATTAGAGGAGTTTGCTACTTCTTTCCAAGCTCTAAAGGTATCATCTACTGAAACCACTTGGAATGCTTCCATTGCTTTTACCCAGTAAGCAACCTTAATCTTTATGACCTCCACAATGTCTTCCTTTGATCTACATCTATCCTTGAAAATTCTTTTGCTGTCCTAGCTTCCTTCCACAAGATTCTTCCCCTTTTCTTTGGTTGTCTCAGAAAACTAGAACTAAAGAGGTTGGCAATGCCTTACGGTGGGTCCCACATGCATCCAAATAGAAATCCAATAAAAAAAGAGAGAAGAGATGCACACCTAAACACAATTAGAAAAAGGACAAGACATTAGTAAATGGGGAATGGTTTCATCATTTGCCTTGCATAAAGTGGACACGTGAGGAGAGAGGAAACTATTGGGCCTTCTTCTTTGAAGTATCACAGGTGTTGATCTTTCTAAGGAAATCTTCCCAATAGAAGGCTTGTATTTTGGGTGGAATGGGTTTACTCCGAATCTCTTTTACTGGAAAGTTTTCCCCCAAAGAGTTTGAAAGAATAAGGTTATTAAAAAAAGAAGCACATGTAAATAGGTCAAAAGGGGAGGGTGTCGAAATCCTACTATTTTCCACCCTTGGATCCAAGTAATCTATTCCTAATTTATTCACAAGGTCAATTGAGAGCTTACACTCCCTATCTCTTAGACCCCTTCTGAATTCAATATCCCAATTTATCCTAGAATTTGAGGTATTCCAAAAGGAAGCAATGAGTTCCTTTTGGACTTTAGGCAAAGTGTAAAGCAAAGGGAATTGGACTTTGAGAGGAGAATCACCCAACGAGATGTCCTCCTAGAAGTGGACACTATTACCTAACCCTGCATCAAATTTGGTGAAATTCAAGAAAGTAGGGAGTATCTCGTCAATAGATTTCTAAGGTGAACTTGAAGAGATAAGAGAGGAGACATTTGCATCTCAAGCATCTTGATCCTTGGACCTACAAACTAAATCCCACTTCACCAAATGATCCTTTTTATCCTCCATTGGTTCCCATAAGTAGTCCCTCATGTATATCTCTAATTTTGTTGCTACTTTTGACGAAATATAGAAGATGGATAAAAACAGATAGAAAGGTTGGACATTATAGAGCAACAATTTTTCCTTCCTTAGTTTTGAACATACCTCCAATACCAGATGGACCTGGCTTGCCTCCACTTCTACCATCAAAATCCAACTTAATGAAACCTCTTAAAGGTGGGGACCATTGAAATCTACAAGTCACCTTAAGAGAAGCAGAATCGGCAATTTCCTTCCACTTCCTCATCAACTCACCTGCTGGAATGTCCTCAAACAGCTTCAAGGTCTTCACCCAGTGAACTAATTTGATGGATATGGCTTCTATCATCACCTCCCTACTCCTTTCTTTTTTCCTAAAGTGTCCAACAAGCTTCCACCCTTGTGCGTCGCTATAAAATTCTACCTCTCTTCTTCAGCCATCTAACAAAGGTAGAGGAGAATAGACTTTGAACAGTAGGTGGGAAGTTCCATCTACACCCAAACAAAGAGAGAAACCATTCCCAAATTGAAGAAGAAAAGGGCAAGACATTAATTAATAAATGATAGCAGGACTCACCGTTATCCTTACAGAGAGGGAACCAGGAGGGTGAAAGACACCGGCCAGGTCTTTTTCTTTGTAGCAAGTCACTTGTGTTAATTCTTTCCAGATACACTTGCTAGCAAAAACCACCAATCCTAGGTGGAATAGGTGTGATCCATACCTCTTTAACAGGAAAGGGCTCTCTCAAACTATCCCTTGGTTGTATCGAATTCAAGAAGAAGGAAGCACAGGTAAATGAACCATAGGGAGAAGGGGTCCAAATTCTACATTCACTTTTTGAATGATCCAACACTACTTTTTGAAGTTTTTGAAGCAAGTTTGAGACACTGCAAATTTCATTCTCCCGGAGGCCTCTTCTAAAGCCCAAAACCCAGCCAAATCCAACAGTAGAGTTAGAGGGAACCAATCCCCCACAAGTTACAAAGGTTACAATAGCGCCCAAAACAACTTTTGCCTATATACCCCTTGTTTTGCTAGAGCATGGGCCATCCCATATGCACTCCTTACCCAATTGAATGTAATGTACAACTCCTATGTGATTCTCTCTATTTCCCTAAACTCATGCCTATAGATCCATGGCATGAGCTATTTATTCCTGGTCAAAGAAATGATCATCTTTGACTCTCCTACTTCCAAGTGCTGAAAACTTGATTGTTAGCAAGTCTTAAGCCTTGTAGCAGCGCCATCAGTTCAGCCTTTAGTGAGTCTCCCAATCCCAAAGGTCATGAAAATATAGCCAACACTTTCCTGAAAACAGTGCCATCAGTTCAACTTAATTTCCAACCTGTTGTTGATCTGTCTGGTTGAACTATTTACAGAATTTGTTGACTTGGTTGAAGCGGACCTACCCATTCAATAGGTCACAGTTTTTTGTATTTTCTATTTTTTAAAACTTTTTTTAATAAGAACATCACAGGTTGAACCATTGACTGAGAGACATGATGTTCAATCTCCAGGCTGGGTTTTAAAACACTGTTATGAACAGATTTTCTGGATAGATCTCAACATTTGATTACTCCTTATTAACCTGCTTACTGTATGCATTTTTCTTGTACTATGTTAACATTGTTGCCTTTTCTCTTCTTTCTTTCTAGTCTGCTAAGGAAGAGTTTTGTGATTATCAGTTCGAAAATCACATAGAAAGAATGGTACTTTTCATCCTCAGCATCTTCTTTTGAATGCCTGATTAAAGGTTACCCTTTCTGTTTCTCCATTTAGCTGATTACCAAATAATGTTGCTGTCTAATGCACTCAAAAGTATTAACTCAGTTATTTTATTTTCATTGCTATAAATTGTTTAATATTTTAAAAGCTTCTGGCCTGATGTAAATAATTTCTAGTTTCCACTTGTGTTGAAAATACTGGGGACATTCTTTTCCCTTCTTTTCTTTTCTTTCTTTCTTTTTTTTTTCTAGATTTCTTAAAGATCTGGAAAGATTTTGCTGTTCCAGAAGACAGACCTGTTGAATGGTTCTGGTTTATCACACTGCTCTCCAGGTATTGGAAGAAACCACGTAGGAAATGATTTTGGATGAAGTGAACTCATGGACAAGTATTTTGAGGTAATATACTGTAACCATATCTAATGTGTATATTTTGTACATTAACAACAGCATAGGGATCACTGCTTGGTCCAATGGTTTGCGTTTGAGAGTATCCACTTCAATCATCAAATGCCAAATATTTCATTTATATCCATTCTATCCGTCCAAAGACCATAGATGGTCAGCACCATCATTGGGCATTGGTCCTTTTTAAGTTTTAACATGTTTTCTGATTTTTAGACTTTAAGTGGATCAGGACTGCAAATGGTTTTGCTGACTCCCTAACTAAACAAGAAGTTATAAGACAACATTTGTTCTGGGCTTCTATGTAACTTGGGCTTGAGGAAAGGGTTTGACATTTCTGTGTTAATCTTGTACTAAGAACTACTTTTACTATTTAATGAAATAAAACTAATTTTCTGCTGATAAAATACTTATTTTCTGTTTTTTTATGGAAATACTGTTTCTGATAGTAAGCAGTAAAATAAGCGTTTATTGCAACAACAAATAGTGCTACTTACAATTCAAGATGGTTGATAAAAGGGAATGTGCCAAGCTGGCACTTTTCTGTTTTGTGGTTTATTCTCAAAGTTACTTATCTTTTTTCTGGTTTTTTGAATTTTATAATTTTAAAATTGAACAAAATAATTCAAGTGACCAATCACCTTTAAGACTTTTAACATGCCTCATTAATACATCATCATTAACTCTTTTCCTCTCTCTCTCTCTCTCCTCTTTTCCATTAACTCTTTTAATAATCTCTCCTCATTAATTATGGTATTAACTCTCTCCTTCAATAACTCATGCCACTAATATTCATTTCAATTGCATACAACACATTATATATCTATAAATCTATATATATTAGTTATTTTTGCATTAAACTATAATTATTAGTGAAGATTAATTATATTGAAATTGAGATATTTAATGATATATTATTACGCTAAATAATCTACTTCCATTCAAAATTATAATTCATTTATATTCCGTTTTAAAATAATAAAAATTAATCAACCATAACAAAATTAATTTAGTAAGTTAAATAAAATAAAAATAATTATTAATTATTGTTATTGATAAAAATAGTTTTAATTAATATAATAAAAAGAATTTAATTAATAATAGAATAAAATAAATAAAAAACTAAAATCAATTTCAACTTAATATAAAACTAATACATATTATCAAACAATTATTAGTTTTATAATTAAATTTTATTAATTTAAAACCAACTTAAGTTCCACTAAAAATAAAAATTTCTATAAACTTCATAAGGAATTTAAATTTAATAAAAACTTAATATACTTAAATAAATTCAATTTTTACTAATTTTAAAAATTAATAAAAATATTTACTTTAAATATAGTTTAATTATTTTAAAATCAATTTAAATTTTATTAAAGAATAAGGAAAATTATAAAAACCTCTTTGGGTTTTCTAACAATCCCATGAAGCTCCCTAGTGTTTTGAAAAAAGATGCAAATGCCTTCCTTTCATTAGTATTCCAAATAAAAAATGTTGATATAATGCATTAATTCTACTTCACTTAAGCCTTTTTACCTTATTATGTCCAAGAAGAGTAAGGAGAAATATTCTTTGAAAGTTATCTAGAAAAAAGAAAAAAAGAAAGTTATCTAGAAAAAAGAAAAAAAGAAAGTTATGCAGAAAAATAAATTAGTAAAGTGTAAGGTTGAAACTTTAAATTATGTATGACAATGCATTAACAATGATAAGACTTCAATGGCTTTGTTACGGAAAAGCCAAGGGAAAGGAGGTATTTGCACTTTTTTTCTCAAAAATATAGGAGAGGCCTTTGTTAGGGTCAAAACACAAGGGTCAAAATTCAGAGATGATCACTCTTCATATTTTACAAAAACATCTTTTCTACAGAAAACATATCTGGCCCAGGAGTTCCCCATTCCACAAAATCCTTTGTAACCCTTTGTCTTGCTAGATTTGACCAAACTGTTAGCAGTCCAAAAAACCTACCTGGATGAGCAGTTCAGTCTATTGACTACTATTCTTGCTTCTCTAACTTGAAACCTGAAGCTGAACCTCCAAGAAATATCCATTGATTATTATGGAAATAATTGAAGTGTTTTACAACAAGACTTATTTTCTGTATAGGAAGAAGATGGCAGTACAAGCAAGACAATAAATAATGTTACTGCTAATAATTTGAATTCATCTATTCCAAGTTCTCAAGTTCATAATAACATGAGTGGGGCTAGAGCTACTGATGGAGGAAGGTTATTAAAGTTCACAAGGGAACTCTCCAGAACAACTGTCATACTAGGTATTTTTTTCCTGGTCATATTGTTGATTACTTTAGTTTCATAGTTATCAGAGAATACTCGTGCTTGAAGAGTGTCAATAGAAGTGCCAATATTGCATGATTGTGTTTTATTCTACAAAAATGGTCATAATGCCATGTTTTGACATGTAAATGCTCATGCTTGAATCCCATGTTTCAATTAAGCAGTAATCATTAAATAAATGAAGTTAATATTAGTAGCTAAACTTTGTTTCTACTTGAAATATAAAACAGAATGAACTTGTGAATTGTGAAAAATGATATAAAACACGGAAGTAATCACAAGAATAAGAAAAGTAAGAGAAAGATAGAGATAAGAGAGGAAAGAATGTGAGAACTGCCATAAAATTCAGTCAGCAGTCTCTTCTTCTATGTAGCTGTCAAATAATAACAAAAAAAAAAGGCTAATGAAAATAGAAAACATGCAGAAACATAGAGAATAAAACCTGACATCAATCCCCCAATATTTCCTCTCAAGTTGAGGAGTAGAAGATATAAATCAGCCTCAACTTGCTTTAGTCATGTGTTAGCTTGGTCTTCGTAACACCTTTGGTACAAATATATGCTATCTGCATCTCAGGTGTAGTAAATGGAAGACAAACATCACCTATTAAATATCTTCCTCTGATAAAATGTCTATCCATTGCAATATGTTTATTGTGTTCATGCTGTATAGGGTTATGTGCAATATCTATAGCTGCTTGATTATCACAACATCAGGGGATCATTAAAGGAAACACCTAACTCTGTTAATAGTGATTTTACCACAAAACTTCTAAAATACCATGAGGCATAGCTCAGTATTCAACTTTTTTGCTGGAATAAGCAACCGCATTCTGCTTTTTACTCTTCTATAACACAATATTGCCACCAATCAAAGCACAAAACCCAGATGCAGACCACCTTTTATCTACACAACCATCCCATTCGGCATTTATATACAGTTCCATCTTAATATGGCCATGGTTTAGCATATGAAACACCTCTTCCAAGCATCCCTTCAAATTAAGCCAAAATCCTTTCAACAACTACTATATGAGGTCTTTGAGGCACTTGCATATATACTGGTTGATAACACCAACCACACAGGCTATATAAGGTTGAGTGATACATTGATAAAATAACTGACCTACTAACCTTTGATGAAATAAAGGCATTCTTCATATCAAGTTGAAACAAAGGCCATGAGTAGGAAGCAATAAAAGATGATGAAAATCTAATAGAATTAATTTAAGAAACAGGAGCAAAGGTCTCAAAATAGTTAATACCAATATTAGCAAACCTAAAGAAGCTGATCAAAGGATTTGAAAAGATTTCTAATCTGAAAATAAATCTGTAAAAGAGTTGCATAGCAGGTATAAACTTGGAGGATGGGGAGATCGAGGTTATTGCGGAATGTCTTGAGCTTTCCATCTCTACCTGGCCTATGTCATACTTAGGGCTTCCATTAGGGGCAAACCCTAGGGAGAGTAGATTTTGGACCCCAGTGATAGAAAAGTTTGAGAAGAGATTAACCTCGTGGAAGAAGAATAATATCTCTTTGGGAGGGAGAATTACTTTAATAAGAGCTACGTTGGCTAACTTACCTACTTACTTCTTGTTTGTCTTTAGGATACCAACTAGGGAAGCTAGGAAGTTGGAGAAGTTGATGAGAGACTTCTTGTGGGAGCCGGGACAAGAAAAAAAGGATCATTTGGTTAGTTGGGAAATTGTTTGCAGAAGTAAAGAAGAGGGGGGTTTGGGACTTGGAAGGGTGATTGAAAAAAATCAAGCTTTATTAGGGAAATGGTTGTGGCAATGGCCATTGGAAAGTGAGAGGCTATGGCATGAGGTGGTGGGAAGCATTCATGGGAGATCAGGGAATGGATAGGATGCTGGTGTATCAAGGCAGGCTAACCTGACAAGCACCTTGGAAGGCCATTCACAACACCCTTCCTCAATTTCTCAACTTTATCAGGTATGAAGTTTGTTCTGGCAATGCTGTTTGCTTTTGGGAGGAAATCTGGTTAGGAGATACCCCCCTAAAGGACCTTTTCCCTTTGCTTTTTTCTGTTTTCTTGTATAAAAAAGGGGTGGTTTCAAAATTTGTCTCACATTTGGGAACACCCTTGGCTCCTAATTGGGATTTTGGGTTTCGTAGGGGACTCAGGATGATGAAATTGAATATCTTTTTGATTTGCTACATTGCCTTAATCAGGTTTACTTGGATCCCTCCAAGCCCGATAAAAGGGTGTGGACTCCTAGACCCAAAGGAACCTTTACTTGTGCTTCTTACTTCAAGTCCATCTCTCAGCATTCTACTCAATAACTTTTTCCACCAAAGGAAATTTGGTGTAGGCCCGTTCCCCCAAAGATTATGGCATTTTGTTAGGAAGTATTCTATGGGAAAGTAAACACTCTAGATAACCTACAAAAGAGAAGACCCTTCGTTTATATTTCTCCCAATTGGTGTATCCTCTGTAGAGCTCACAGGAAGGATTGTTACCATCTACTAATATCTTGTCCTTTTTCTGCAGACCTTTGGGCTTGGCTACTTTCGTTGTTTGGGAGTAGTTGGAGTATGCCAGCAAAAGTTCACATGATCTTTAACCATTCTACTTTCTCTTGGCCTACAAAAAGAGGGAGAATTATGTGGAGATGTGCTCGCGCTACCTTGATTTGGAATCTTTGGGAAGAAAGGAATGCTAGAATCTTTCAAGAAAGGGAAAGGAGCAATCAAGAATTGAAAGATTGTATGCTGCATAGGGCAATACTTTGGTTGAAAACTTTGGAAATCTTTCATCAATTCTCCTTTAATGACCTTTGGAGAAACTGGTCAGTAGTAGCAAGGTGTTCACCCTTAAAGGATAAGTCAATTACAAGCTGGTTTCCTCCATCTGAAGGCTCACTAAAGTTGAACTTTGATGGAAGTAGCATGGGTAATCCAGGCTTATCCGGAATGGGGTGTGTCTTGAGAAATGAGAAGGGAGAGATTCTGTTGCTCTACTCGGGTCCCTTAGGAGTTGGGGACTCCATCTGGGCAGAGCTATTAGCTGCTATGCAAGGGGTGCAACTTGCAAATCAACTGGGGGTACAACATCTAGTAATTGAAGGAGATTCCGAAGTGGTGGTGGGCTGGTTGAAAAATCCTGAAGATGCTATATGGCGCTACAAGAATGAAATGAAGAAATTCAGTTGGTTGACAAGGAATATGTTGGCCTCTTTACAGTGGGTGGGTAGATCAGCAAATACTTTGTCCGATGTTTTAGCTAAGCAAGGGGTAAATCGGGAAGATTTGTTTTGGGCTCAGTTGTGATTCCTGTTTTTCTTTCCTAGTTTTACTTGTAAGATTTAAGGAGGGGCTGTAGCTCGTGCCTCTCCCTGGGATGTTGTATGAATTCACAACTCTAAATCAGTTTCTGAACTAATAAAATTTACTATTATTCATCAAAAAAAAAAAAAGAAAATAACGTTTCACTACTAATCTAGCCTTAAACACCTCTTAATGGTGCCATCAACTTTGTATTTTACTTTAAATCAGTGTTTTAAAAGGCATGGGAGAAGTACGCCTAGAGGTGTGCCTCCAAGCGAGGTGCTCCCAAAACGCCCTGGGGCGTAGGACTCAGGTGCAAGAGGCGTACACCTCACGCACCTCATGCACATCTTATATAAAAAGACAGAAAAAAAAGGAAGGGAAAGGAAAGGAAAGGAAAGGAAAAGAAAAGAAAGGGAAGGGAAAGAAAAAGAAAGAGAAGTAAAAAAAAAGAAAAGGAAAGAAAAGAAAAGGAAAGGGAAGAGAAGAAAAGATAAGGGGAAAGAAAGTGGTTCACCCCCTAGACCCCCTCGCCCCCTTTTCGATGCAACCCAATTTGTTTTTTTTTTTGAGTTTATGCATCTTTATTCTTCTTAATATAAAAGATTTTTATTAAAAATAAATAAAAAATGAGATCCCCCCTTCCTCTTCATCCTCCTCCTAACCCCCCTCCTCTTAAGGAGGCTTACGCTTCTTTGTGTTCGGGAGTCTTACGCCTCTTGCATTCTGAACTATGTCTCACGCCTCTAGGTAGTGGAATGCCTCGCGTCACGCCTCCGCATTTTAAAACATTGCTTTAAATACCCATTAATACCCCACGGTGCCATCAACTTTGTATTTTACTATAAATACCCATTTTTTTTATAATTGAAATAATTTTATTAATTAGCAATAGACAATAGTACAAAGTCCCCAAGGAAAGGCACGAGTTGCAACCTCTCCGGGCTAGTTAAGTACAGATTTCCAAATTAATAACAACTTACAAAGAAGCACAAAAAAGATCTTCCCTAGAAACTCCCTGTTTGGCTAAAGCATCAGCCAAAGAATTAGCAGACCTACTAAC